CCCCAAAACCCCAAAACCCCAAAACCCCATGAGCTATGATTACTCTAAAAACATATATTAGCATTCTAAATTATAAATAAATCAATGGAGTCATAAGCTAAATAAGAGGATATAAGATAATTAAGAAAGCAGAGTGTGTCAATAGGGAGTGATCCTTTATCTTTAATTAATTTGAAGCAGAGCAGTTTCAACAATGGCGATGGCTCATATAGAAGGCTAGAGGAGAGCAAAAGACTCGGAGTTTAGTCAGTAAGACCTCAAAGCAATAGTAGGAAGAGCAATCTCATAGATTCCTACTTTGATCAAAGAGGAAACCATAAAGATGATGAAAACAAAAAGGAGATGTGGCTTGAATTAGGAGAAGAGCCCCTCTGCAAAGTCGATGTCAAGGAAACAGTTAAGGCGACTGAAGGCACTTTATATATAACAAATTACAGAGTAAGGAAATAATGATTTATCCTTATCATAATGATGGTATAGATATACTACAACGATAAGCAGAATATAACGAGTGAGCTGATGGACTACAAGAGCATACCGTTTGGATACATTCTGAGGCACAAGTTTGCAAGCGATAAAAAAAACAACTGGCTGGACTTGACGACGAAGGACTAGAGGAATTTCAAGTGGAGATTCGAGAGTGCCATTGGATATTAAAACACGATTGAGAATCTAAGCAGACACACTGCGATTAAAAAACACAAGGACCTATTCTCGTATGACTACTCCAAAAGGTGTCGCTAGCTATAGCTTAACTTCACTCAAATCGGAGAATCAGACATAGTTGATATCGTCTTCAAGGAATTCAACAGACAAGGCATTCTCGATTAAAGTAGGTTTAAGATATATGAGTTGCCTGAGAAAATTAGAATCAGATAAAGAATAGATCTGCCTGCACAGGTTATAGTTCCCAAAAAACTGACTGAAGAGTAAATTACTGGTTCTTCAAGAGCGAGATTCAGTGGAAGATTCCCAATCTTATCTTACTATAACAGTCATCTTAATATTGCAATCTGGAGAGGTGCAGAACTTAATCAGCAAACACCAGTAAAGAGAGACATTGATGATGAAAATTACATAAAAGAAATTAATATAGAGAGCGAGGGAAACAGCAAGTTATACATATTCTCCCCTTATGACAAGGACACCAAGAATATTGTGTGTGAGACCGAATAGGCATACCCAGATACCAAATTAGTAAAGTACGGTTTTCATTCCTAATCCAAACTCGCACAAGCTTTTGAAAAGATGTGGCAGATTTCCAATAAATACGACAAGTCTAAGAAGAAGAGCAAGTTCCTCAGTAAAATTGAAAAGTCAAAGTGGTTTAACTTTATCGACAATATGATACTAAAGTCTATGCTTGTTCACAAGGCATTATTGCAGCACAACAAAGGAACGCAATTTTCAAGGAATGTGCTGATCTATTGTCAAAACGGTTAAGTGGGATCCTCTGTGATTTCGTCACTCGCCTAGATAATGATTGACCCATATTACAGGACATTCGATGGGTTCAGAGCTTTGATCTTTAAAGAGTGGATATACTTCGGTCACAACTTCATCAAATACAACAATCTAAGTATGCTAATTATCTCTTAACCGTACACTTTTAGTGACTGATATCTAAGGCTTGAATTACGATCAATACTACACTCCTGTATTTATTTTGTTCCTTGACTGTGTTCACTAACTAATCGAGCTTAACCAGACCTAATTCTAGTTTAATTCAGAGTACTTGGTCTTTATGGCATATCATGCATTGACCAATAAGTTCTTTGAATTCATCCATGTTAATCCTACACAGCACTTCTAAAACATCTTAAATGAGCCATTCTAACAATAGATTCAGAAAGCAGTTGACTAAACAGTTAACCCTAAGTAGCCATAGCAGTCAGAGAATAAATAAGTATCGATTTTCTCCCTAATTAATAAATAAAAATTCATAAACAAGCTTTATGCTCCTGAAAGTATCGAAATGAGTGGTTCACTTGGACTTTTCTATTAAACTAATCTCCTGAGATACTGGAGAGGCTACTTTGCTCGATATCAAACTGATCTATTCACCCAATTTGACATGTGCCACATACAATAGGAAAAGGTCTTTGACAATATGAAGGAAGAGAACAATGAAGTAGGAATGAATCTGAATATGTATTTAACCCGAATAAATAAACTCAAGGCCAGTCTTGGAGACAGTGTAGAGTTTGAAATAGAAGACCAAGAGCTTATTAGTAGAATAGAATAAACATTAAAACTGATTGCTGAGTTCTAATGAATTGGCAAGTAGACCAATAGTGCATGAAAGCCATTCATAAATAAGTGATTGATTGATTATATATAATCTAATTTAATCTCTGGTAAATCTAATCATTTTTCAGACGCATGGGGTTTTGGGGTTTTGGGGTTTTGGGG